GTCATCAGCCAGTCATACCGAGTGCCGGGTGTGGATAACCCGGCATAGCAACGAGCCCGTGGTGCAATGGTAGAGTGGTAAACTCAAAGATCAAAGGACCCGGGTTTTAATCCCGGGTGATCCATATCTGGGCTTGGGTATGACTGACTGATGATGGCTACTAAACCAGAAGTGACCATTCCGATCCCCCTTGTTATTATGAATTCCACTCCAAATTAACATGGGTAAGGACAGGAGGTCCAGATAAACTATTCTGAGATGATGAATAAGATATATGTGGCTCAGAAAATGATAAAATAATTCAGATAAAGTATCTTACGTCCGGGTCGTCCGAGCAAATTGTATGGTTAAACTTGGTCCACAGGCTAGCCAACTTTGGCGAATGCATTTGTGGTGCACTGCTGCGCACGGAGGAGACAACAGCCATCGGGATATTGCAGCTTTCCAAGTACTGTACTAGGTCGACCACTCCGCTGCGAATTTTTGTATCTCTCCAACTTTCGGCCACAAGAACGCTGCGCAGGATATCCTGGAAGTTATTTTTTCGAATGGGTGTAGAAAGGCCCTCGGAGAGCACCTCAGCCGAAGAGGTGAGGTTGTCACCTATAAACTTTTTACGCAGCTCCTGGGGGCAGTGTCGATTATACTTTTTGAAAACATGGCCACAACTTCCTGTAGGAACACCCTGACAATCCAAGAGGATGCCCTCTCTCTCGAAAATGACGTGGCTCGTGCGCACCATTTCTGAAAACAGGATATATATTATCATGTTAATTTTCCAGTTTCTAGTTTCATCAAGGCGCCCCCAAGGGTAGCAAAAATCGCCTGGCCACCGTTCAACAACAAAGCTAGTCATCGAGATCGTGTGTAAGACGCAACAGAAGAGCCCATACCGAAAAAACAGCAGGAATTGTAAGAAGAAGTTGTAAGAAGGCTGGCATTATATGTAGGAGACGTTTCTTGTTGAAGCAGTAGACATCGGATGTTGGAAAATGAAAGGGGACATTGTTTGCCTTGTTATAAGCTGTTAGACAAAACGCAATCAACACTATGAAAGTTTGATGGGATACACGAGGAATGCTACAGAATAGACCGTGGAGATTGGAGGGATTGTTCTTGGCAACTGTGTCATGACTCCAGGCAAGCAAAGTCCGAGATGTGAAGCTCAGTTTACATAGGCATTGAACCATATGCAAACTTAGCCGCCGCTTAGTCAAGATATTAAAAGTCATACATTATAAGCACTCACGTATCTACCCGATCGTCGGCTGACTGAGACAACTAATGCTAGTTACAGCCTCTTTTGTTTTTGTCTTGTACACCTTTCAACGGTAACGTACTCTTCGTTTTGTGATCCTCTGCAATGTCGTAGGTATGAATCAGTCAGGAAAAGCTAATTCCCAAACTGATCGGTAAATGCCGTTCCCATTTACCGCTGTTGGCAACGTTGAGAAAAGAGACGACACTTGTGTGAGCTATCAGAAATAGTGTAAGTAGCAGAATTTAATGGCACCATAAATTTCGCGAGCGCTAATCAGCCGCTTCCACTCGCTGCATAAACAGAA